ACACCCTAAATTCGCCAGTTGGCGCGTCCCATGTCATCGATCATGCGTGGCCGGTGCGCGACCCCGGAACCTGCGCCAGAGCCTCTCTTGACCAGGTCACGCCGCGTGGGAGCCACGCCGAAGAGAGAGCGTCTGGGCTACGGCGGGACGCGGATCCGAGAGGCCTGGCAGACTCGCCAGTTGCTCGTCACCCTCGCCCGTTCTCACGTGACGAGTTTCTTAAATTGCGTAACTGGACCCGGAGGGTGGCCCACTTTGTAGGGGAAAAAAGTCGTGCGCGGACCACCTGCATAGTTAAGAGTGCCCCTGCCAGCCACTTTTGTACAAATTAAGGCTTGTTGGCACTTTTGCCCCCCAGATGGGGTCGGTGAGTATGTAGAGAGGCGAGGAGCCACCGGGCCAGCGGTGCTCGGCTGGAAGGTTGGTCATGACGGCGGATCGTGCAAGACAGGCAGACGGGCGGGACCAGGCTCGAGGGAGTCCGACGGATCGTCCAGGGTCAAGCGGAAGGCCCTCACGGCGACTCGCGGCTGGCGTTCCCTCCCGGTGTCCCCCATCGTATGCCCAGGCGCACGTCGGCCGGTGGCCCACCCAACCAGTCGTAGCGGTGCTGGAGCCCCCGGGGACGCCGATCCCTGCCTGCCCTGCGGGGGTGGGTGAGGGAGAGGTGGCCAGGAAGCCGGCCAGTTGACGGCGCGGGTGGCGTGGGGTGGGTGGGTGGGCGGCGGGGAGGGGACGGGCATCAGACGGAGACCGTCAGGGCCGCGTGAGGCCTCGGGGTGCGCGATTAGGGGTTGTGCGGCGAGCCCTAAGGGATCACGGCCAACCCTCGGCCGCTGGGCAACCCCTAAGCCCCGGAGGCGGCGCGGTGGTGACGGGCAGTCGAACTCGCCAGTTGGCAGTTGCTGGGTCCCTGCTGCGGCCGGGGGACGCCCAAGGGGACGCCTGTCTCACCGAGGATGGGGGCACGATGCTGGTGGAGACGCCACCGCACGGCGGGGGGCAGTGGCCAGGGACGGGGAGAGGGGGGGTGGGTCGATGACCGGGAGGGTCGTGGAACGGAGATATATCTTGGGTGGTGGGATGGGGGAGGGATCTGATGAAATTCCACATCGGACCTGGAGCAAAGATATATCTCGACATGGGGAGACCCTCAATCCCACTGACATGCCCTGTGGCCGTAGACTGAGCACGACCGGACGCATCGATGTCCCTGGACGCGGCGAAGGGGTTTGCCATGCGCGGATGTTGGTGGTCTTCGGATTTTCGTCATACCCTAATTTTTCGTCATACCCTAATTTTTCGTCATACCCTAATTTTTCGTCATACCCTAATTTTTCGTCACACCCTAATTTTTCGACACACCCTAATTTTTCGACACACCCTAAATTTTGGACACACCCAAATTTTTCGTCACACCCAAACTCGCCAGTTGGCGGTCGACGCCCGTTTTTCGTCATACCCTAATTTTTCGTCATACCTTTCCGTCGAGATGGCCGGACTCGCCAGTTGGCGACCCGCCCGGGGATGCGCATTTCCCGGCCCTCCCGTCGGCTGGGAGGCTCTCCGGCCCAGACTCGATGTTCAGGCCGCAGAGGCGAGGACATGCCGGTCGTCGAACGAGCGGGCGACGGCGAGGGAGGGGTGAGAAGGAGGGTGATGGGGGTGGTGCGGACCAGGTCACGTGAAAATGGGCGAATTTTGACCAAGTCCCTTAAATTGCGTAACTGGACCCGGAGGGTGGCCCACTTTGTATGGGAAAAAAGCCGTGCACGGACCACCTCCATAGTTAAGAGTGCCCCTGCCAGCCACTTTTGTACAAATTAAGGCTTGCTGGCACTTTTGCGCCCCAAATGGGGTCGGTGAGTATGTGTAAGAAGAGGTGAGCTTCCGCCCGCCTCTTCGAACATCTTCCATGTTCTGCCGTCAACCTCGCCGGGTGCTGGGCTTATTATTCCTCAGCACCGGGGGTGTGGGTTCACGTCTCGACGCGCTTTCCCCCTCGGGGGTTGGTCGTCGCGGCCTCTGAAGCCCTGGGATCCTGGGATCCCCGGCAATGCCGAAGCCTGTGGACTCTTGGCCGTTGGCCAGCAGACCCGTCCTTTGGTAGCATCCTGGGGGAAGCCGCCCTGCGTCATACGCCGTTCGCCGGCGTCTCGCGGGGGTCGGGCCCCCCTTCCGAGGGCCGTATGCCGCAGCCCGTCCCTGCCCGTGTGGGCGGTGGCCGGAATCTCTGCGTGCGGACCGGCGCTGAGGAGCCTAGAGGGGGCAATTGGATGGCCGCTCGCGCTTCCCCGGTACGCTGGGGGCAGTCGCGCCGGTCGGACGCCTTCGTGCGTCCCAACCCTTTAACAAAACTCCGCCCCTCCGGGGGCTAGGGCCTGCCCTGGGTGTCCGTTCTACGGGCCCCGGGGCCTGCCCGACAGTGAAGTTATCTGGTTGATTCTGCCAGTAGTCATATGCTTGTCTCAAAGATTAAGCCATGCATGTCTAAGTATAA